TCTCTCTCTCTCTCTAGCTGAACGGACAGGGTCTTTGGGATGCATTGGTTGGGTCATAGTCATTATGTCTGGCATCTTCACAACTTTACTCTTCCCCATCACCATCTGGTTTTGTTTGAAGGTGAGTGAACAACAAAAATATGAGCACAGTGGGTTGAGAAGAAGAAACCTCTATTTCCTTTGTTGCAAGTTTGAATGTGAATGGAGCTTGTGCTGTGGTCTTCCTGCAGATTGTTCAGGAGTATGAGCGCGCTGTCATCTTTAGACTGGGCCGCATTACAGACAGGAAGGCCAAAGGACCAGGTACAAACAATAACAATTTCTGTCTTTTTTCTTTTTTTTTTGAGGACTAAATGCAAAAAATCCTGGATTGGGATATAATTTGTGATAAAAAGGAAATAAGGGGATATTTCCAGATTGCTACAATAATGTAAAGTTTTCTTTTTTAAACTTTTGATTGTCCACAGGAATTTTCTTCATTTTGCCGTGCACTGACTCCTTTGTGAAAGTGGATTTGCGAACAGTTTCATTTGACATCCCACCACAAGAGGTAGGGTTGGCACAAAGAGCGAGACAAATTGATTTCAGTTCTAGTCCGTGGACACTCACAAACAAACTGCCATGCATTACCACTCTAGGTCCTGACCAAGGACTCAGTTACCGTTTCGGTGGACGGAGTGGTGTACTTCCGGGTCAGTGACCCCATTGCCTCTGTGGCCAACGTGTCTAATGCTGACTTCTCCACCCGTCTGCTGGCTCAAACCACCCTCAGAAATGCCCTGGGGACTAAGAACCTGTCTGAGCTGTTGTCTGACCGCGAGGGCATCGCTCAAAGCATGCAGGTACAGAAAAGTCTCAGGCTGGCATCTCTGGCCCTAGATATAATATATGCATTGTGTTTGCTGAGTTTTTTTTTTTTTTTTCAATGAACCAGTTATGGTGTAAACTACAGTTGTAAGCTCCTCCCCTTTCTTTCTTTTTCAGTCCAACCTGGATGAAGCCACAGACAACTGGGGCATCAAGGTGGAGCGTGTGGAGATTAAAGATGTGAAGCTGCCACATCAGCTGCAGAGAGCCATGGCTGCCGAAGCAGAGGCTACACGAGAGGCCAGAGCCAAGGCAAGGACATGATGACACATACACAGTACATCATGCATACAGTGTTGTACAATAACTTACTGTAAAACACAACATACGTTATTATTCAGGTGTTTACTTTTATGACTAGCAAGTCATTGTGTGCCAACCTAATATCTCTTTCTTGATCTACGTATAGGTGATTGCAGCAGAGGGTGAGATGAATGCATCTCGTGCCCTGAAGGAGGCGTCCCTTGTGATCGCAGAGTCTCCGTCAGCCTTGCAGCTGCGCTACCTGCAGACTCTCAGCACCATCGCAGCAGAGAAGAACTCCACCATCATCTTCCCCCTGCCCATGGACATGATATCTCACTTCATGAAGAAGTGATACCTCAGTTTCTTCATCCTCTAAAGTCGCTGTCAAATTAAACATGATTTGGAGGGGATCAGGGTATATTTCTAAAATAAACTCTCAGGATGCGAGATGAGGCTGTTGTTGTATAGTTGACATTTCTTCAGACTGATCATAGAAACACCTTTATGGTTTACATGTAGTCAAGCTGTGATCGAGTCCTGCTAACAATGTGAGGTAGATTAGCATAGTTTCCATATCTTCAACATACTGTATGTTGCTAAAACTATATCTCATTCATATCAGATGACGTAATGTTGATCAGTTGCATATTTTGATACTGAATTAAATGTAACATGTTTAAAACTATTTGTTGAAGTTTTGTTCTTAGTCAAACAGCTTTTGTTGCCTCGAATCTTGAATCCCTTATATAATGTATGCGATATTAGTTTATGTTTTTGTCACTGTCATAGAACATGTTGGTTACTAAAAATGGTAGTTTACTTTGATCTAAAGTATTCTGTTAACTAGGACAAGCCAGAATACATGTAGCAGATAAACACCCACTCTTTTGAATGGAGAGCAAGACTTGTCAGTAAATGAAACACAGACATGACTTTTTCTTGTATATTTTTTAATACTGTGTTCTCCCCAAAAAGTACAAATAAAAGCATCAACATACTTCGTATACATTACATGTTGGACTATCTCGTTCCTCGTCCTCTAGGCCTCCTACGCTACGGTTACGATTTGACCATCACAAATGCAGAGAGATAAAAGAAGAGAGAGAGAGAGAGAAACAGCAAAGACAGGAAAAACATGCTTCTATTACTTTGTTGATGCACTAAGACACAACCCATGTTGTAAATGTATTTACATTCAAACCTACAATCAGTGCCAGAAGAAACATATTCAGTGAACTTTGTCTCTGGACCAAATCCGCAAGGGGTAGTCGTATATAGCTTTCCTCCACAAATTCAAATTCTGGTGAAGGAGACATTCACCACAACAGCATTTAAACATGAACATGACCATTTCAATCCCTAATAGATCAGATAAACATGTTTCTTGTGGGGAGGCTCAACCAAGTGCTACATATTAAATGGCTGCTACATAGCGGTCAGACGAGAGGCCTTTCTATTTCAGACAAAATCACATGAATGACTTGTATAAAATGCAGTCATTACATTTTTGACATTCAGCGCATAGTGAGACACAGATGTCCACAGGACACATTGAAGGGTCAGTACCAGTTCGTTGTTTAGAGATCATAGTCCATTCAAAAGTGAAATATCAAATTTAAGATGAAATCTGTGACTCTACGCTGTCATTTGTAAACAATAGTTTTTGTTGCATCCTTGTAGACTTGTTTTCTTTTGCACCTGAAGTGACCTTTAGGAGGACCCTAAAGAGTCACTCAATGACGCACAGTAGGTGAACTGCAACCCTAAAACATTCGAAAACACAGTGACTCTGACTAGCATATTCTTACAATTGATCGTTATGCAAAGACATTCTCAAAAATCCTTAGTGTAGGTATAAAATAAGTGAGAATTGAGATGCATTTCTCAAATCCTATGCTGTATTTAACATTCTGTCGTTTCAGAGCGTTTAACCCTGTGTACGTGTCATACAAAAAATCTTGAAGATCCATGAAAAGATTTTTACTTAATCACGGCCATCAAAAGTGCTGGTATGGCAATTAAAGATCTACTTAAAAGTCTATTACTGTACTGAAAATCCAGCAACCCAGAAACGTCATCCTTTACATGCTGGTAAAACGTTACATTTACTTAACCTGTAACTTAACAAAGAAACGTCTGACTAACCCTAACCCCATGCTCCCATTAGCAATGCCGCTGCGACTGCCAACAGCACAACACAGACTTACCCTCATCCCTTTTCACTGGCAATACTGGTTTATTTACAGCAGCTCATTTACATGTGTAGTCCGAACAGCTTTGTTTCGTTAATGTGCGGGTAGATCACTGAGACTACACCGTGTAATACCGTAGGTTTCATTGAAAAAGCCAGATGAAAGAATAGGACCCTGAGGGTAAGTTTGTCAGCAGAGTACAGTACAGGAAGCAGCTATGACAAACCGTATGCTATAAAATAAGTCTCATTTCTATATACCAAAGGTTGGTTTCTGTATTACATATAAGAGGAAAATTATCTCGGGAAATATCTTGAGTGTTGAATGTTCCGTAGAGAAGCTATACAAAAAGGAAAAAATATTTCTAATCTAAATTTAGAAAAGAATTCCCTGAACGATATATTCGTGCACACTGAGAATTAAGTGTAGCTTGCAAAAGTTTTGAACATTATATTGGAAGGATAAAAGTGTCGATCAGATAAAGAAACCCGAAGCATCAGAAGAGGTTATGAAGAGGTTGAGAAAGGCTGACACTTATCTTTGCACAAAGAGGCAAACCGAGGGTTTACCTGTATTTTGTTTAACCTACGTAGCTTATATACCATTTCCTAGCACAGTCCCCCGAACACCACCTATGTGTGATGACAACAAGTTAGAATATCTCCTCTCTCCTGTGGTACGTCACATATTCCTCCGTTCGTTTACCTTCCCACCTCAAACTTGATAAATAGACAGACCACAGCGATAATACGTTTCACATTAAGACTGGAAGACTTCCACAGTACATGCTTGCTTAAGTAGCAAAATACATGTAAATTAAAATAAATAGCAACATCACAGTTAAAAAAAAGAAATTCACAAAAACATTTAAAAAGAGCGATTCCTGTGTAAGGTTTCCCCCTTAACTTTGAGCTCCCTGCTAGCTGTGTGTTTCTGTTGTTGTTGCTGTTGAGCCACGGACACAACACACTGCACATTCCCGCTGAGGTAAATTCAAAATGGCAGACATAGTTGACCTGAGGGATCCCAAAAGTGAAGAGTAGCTCATCATGTGTTGAGATGCATGGAGGAAGACCTGGCAAAGGTTTGAACATTAAGTCCTCTGGATTTTGCAGGTAAAACGGCTCGGGTTCCAGGTCGGGTCGTCCCACACGAGTACAACTATTACAAAATGTTGACTACATCAAGATTCACTTGATTTGCAAACCAATTCTTTATGCAGTATAAGTCCTTCATGAAATAGATTGTTGGTTGTTCTCTGCTGGTGAGACGGCAGGACTAGTATAAGGCGCTTTTTTGGGCATTTTTTTTCAGATAAAAAAAGAAAATAATTGATTCTGAGAAACTGATCCTAACAAGAGAGTATTTAGCTTATTTTATCGAGGACATGGACGTGTTTTAAACACACCAGAGTATTGTGTTCTGGTGAAAAGAGTCTACTTTCCATCTGTATTGTTTCTGTCTGTGCGGGGCTCATGACTACTTATGCAGGGAGCTTTCACTACATGTCGACACACATCTGTGTCACTATCATACATTATGTACAGTCTACGTTATACAAGTTGGGGTTGGGGACAGAAAACTCAGCTGCAGTCATCTGCATTCATTTGCCATTACAATATTAGGCTGTGTACAAAGCTATGTTTCACATGATGGACACCACCAGCTGTAGAGGCTTTAGGATTAACCTTCGTGCTTTGACACTGACTGTCCTGAGACTATAGTCCTCGTTTTTTCTCCAACATGTATTTCAATGGCGTTCACATTCAAAAACGGAGGACAATTATGGAAATAAACGAGAATGAGCCAGATAAGAAAATAAAAAAGAGAGAGCAAGAGATGTGAGCTTATCTCTGGAAAGAGCTGAGAAACGCGGCTGAGTTACAGCGGTTGGCTGTCACTCTGTGTGTGGGCGTGGCCGGGCCAGGGGAGTAATTCTGATTGCTTGTTGCTCTGTGAGTTGGCGTGCCTGGTCCAGGGGAGACGTTTTGATTGGTGGCGGCTCTGTGGGACGGGGAGCAGTATTGAGCCTGCTGGGGACAGCCGTAGCAGTGGGTGGGGGAGTCACACCCCGCTACAGGTGAGGAGGAGAAGAATTGAGTTGAGGGGATGGGGGAGGTGGAGAAGGAGCGGTGCAGCGGGGAGGAGGCGGGGGACATGAGGGGGCTGGTCTGGAGTCGCCACAGGAGCTCCTCGTTGTTACGACTCAGCCGCTTCTTCTCAGTGCTCTCCTTCCCGACTGAATCGTGGAGGTTGGCGTTCTCCTCGGACAGTTGCCTGCAGGGATAACAGCACGGAGGAAGCTAACCTCAGCACAAAGCAGCATGTACAGTTTACATCAGGGGGTTGACTGATTGACTGAATGTGTCTTACCTTGACAGGACTAGGTTATTATCAATACGAGCCCTCAGATCTTCATTCTGCTGCTGCAGAACCTGGACCTTCTCCTCAAGGAACACGTTCTTTTGGGCCTGCTCGAAAGTGAAATACAACCACAGTGTAATCTTCACTCACCGGACACACTTGTGTATCCAGACCAGTGTGCATGTGTGTGTTTGTTAGCTGTTTTTGAGCCTACCACTTTCTCCAGATCGGAGATCTTCTTCTCTTGATGGTGTATCTGCTGGTTCTTCATCTCCACAACCTCCTTCAAGCTCTTCAGATCTTGTTCAATGTGCTGGTATGGAGCCAAAGCATCCTGAAGAAAGACACAAGACACAAGAAAGTTAGGGGAGTGGTCCGGGAGCGTCTGTGTATTTATCTTAGAGAGGAGGTGAACTCACAACTATCTGTTCATCTGTACTCCTCCTCAAAGCCTCCTCAAATCGTTTGGCTTTGTCCCTCAGACTCTGGTTTTGAAATGTGAGCGTATCCACTTGATCCTGGACAAGCATCCACACACACAAACACAGTAACATACATTGCCTCAGTACATATCAGTGTGCATCAACCAAAAAATAAACCATTAAGTGTCATTTGTATGGCAACATACCTGTAGAGAAAGCCTGAGTTTCTCAAAATCTTCCTCTAGGAGCATCTTCTGTTGCTCGTGAGCTTTCCTTAAGTCTACACACAGATACAGAAGCACAATGGAAAAAGAGAGTTTATGTTTGTTTCTCGCAGTGCTGGTGTCAAATTGTGTTTAAATGAAGGTCTGAAATCACACCTCTCATTGTACGGGCGTGCTCCTCGTGCAGTGTAGCCATGGTAATGTTATGCATGTCTCTGAGCTCCTGAAAGGCTGCCCGGTGGGTGACCGTTATCTCCTCCATCTAACACAAACACACACATACAAACTTTAACGACTGATAAGGTTTTATCATGTGATAGAGGATCAGATCTTATCAAAGCGGACATAATTTCACACATCTCCCATGATGCCCTTTGTTTCTTTCACCTGTTCCTGTTGCTGAGTCCTCAGCTCCTCCATCTCTGACCGATGCTCCTCCTTCAGGTGTTCAGCCTCAGCCGAGTGACACTTCCTGAGCACATCCTCCACAGCAGCCAGCTCCGCCTCCTGCTGCTGCTGCAGCTCCTGCAGCTCTCGCTCAAACGCCTCCTCCAGCGCCGTCTTCTCCCGATGGAGTCTCTCCCATCGCGCTGAATTGAATGCTGTGTATGAAGCAGAGTGTATCTTAGTATGTTATCTTCGAGACATTTTACTCTACATGCATGACTGTACAAACTGGGGTCAGGGTTTAATTCATTTACATTTTACCAAGGTAAGAAAAAAACGAATGAAACCTCCATTTGGGTGTCAATAATATATAATTCATTTTTTTGTTATTTAATGCATAGTATGATTTATTAGTCATTTTAAAATAAACAAAGCAGAATTATAAGACGCTCCCTCAAACTCTTAGAACATCTTACTTATTGAAATCACTAACGAGCCATCGTTAGTGTTATTCGTAGCACCTGTGCTGTTGCTTGATTGGATTGATTTGGTGCTTTTATTTGTCCGGTCATGTGTTGGTTCTCACTCACCCATTTCCTCTCTGATCTTTTGCATTTCCAACAACAATTTCCTTTGATTTTCCTTTGTAGTTTTATTCTGGAAATTGAAAATTAGAAATAAACAACATTTTATCATAATGCAGGTTCCAATAGCATTTATAAAATACAACAGTGAAACAGCTAGTTAACTGTTGTTAATGTAGCATGGTTTGTGGTCTCCCCCCCCCCCCCAGGTCTGAGCCCAACTCCACCCACTGCATCTTTTTGAAAAATGCAAAATTGTGAGCAAGGGGCTGGGGGCTTGCTCGGTGACATTCTCTGGCCTGATCACATGCTTTTTTCATATATACATTTCATGCACCTTTTTAACCAATTGTCAATTGCACAAACTTTTAGAACCACGTTCCAGCATGACAGAGCATATAAATGTCAGTTAGAAAAACAAAACCTGTGCCTACTTTTTAATCATATTCAATGATTACTTGAATTAATGTTTATTAAATATATATAAATAGAGAAATAGAAAAAACAAATAAGAAAAAAGAACATAAGAAACCAGAGGTTTATGTATATATACAGTATATATATATTCAGGTTAAACTGAATTTAAGCTGCATGACATGCTTGAGAAAAACACTACTGTCAATGTTGCTTATCAATATGAATAAATTCATATGCATGTACTTTATACAGCATGCTGTTGTCCGAGTCTCTACAGTAACTGTAATGCCAGCAGAGGGAGCTCAAACCTACTCAAACAGGTAGACACTGAAAGCATTCTTGTCTTAAAGCTTGCTGTATCTAACCTATGGGCTGGTGACTGTAGCACTCAGACAGAGACCATAAAGAAGTCAGACAGTCCCTCGACAGTCTGGGAGCAGTATTAAAGCTATCACACCTTAGAGGCTAAATCATTCCATCAGACACAAAGAGCTGCATGAATCCAGCACAGCGACACACTGAACTCTGGAGAACGTTTCCCACAGTAGCAATCACTCTTGCTCATCGTGCTGCTCGAGGACCGTGAGGTCAATCTCATCTCACCTCACAACGTTTAATACTGTATGTGTTCTTCAGTTCATGTGCTAAGAGAGCATATTTTCTACAGTCCAGGCTCTAAGTAAATGGAAAGGTTGAAGCACTGTCGATCTATATAGGATCATAGATTAACCTTCAGACCAGAGATTGGATTGTGAGGGAAATAGACATAATTATGATAGCCTTATTGTGGTATATGACATATTCATTTGTATGCATTGTATTATTCAAGCTGGCTACCTTGAGGCAGTAATGCTGAGTGGTGATAATAAAGGCTTCCAGACCCAAGGAAGTCTTCCTCAGCTCTTCTCTTAGAGCTCCCAGCTGCCTCTCCTGCTGCTCACAGCGTCCCTGCAGCCTCCGAACCTATGTGACAAAGAATAAAATAGCATGCAATAGTGCAAACTCCAAGGGGTGCTGCGGATTGTCTTAGCAACTCACCTCCTCCTTTAGCTCTTCTTTTTTTCTTTCCTCTGCTTGCCTCTCTCTCTCTTGCTGTTGAGCCTCCTCTTTCTCCCTCTGCAGGCTCTCCTGCTGTTCCTGCTGTGGCCTCAGGGGGGCCACGAGGCGAGGGGACCCCAGGGGAGCTGACCCTCGCACCGCTGCTGCGGGCCGCTGCCCGGACTGGACTGTAGGGAGAGAAAAAACAAACAAACAAAATTGAATTGAGTTAGGAACGTTTGTGTTTGCTTTTTTTCTCTCTAGGAAAAACATTGTAAATACATATGATATAGAAATATTCAAATTATACATACAGAATATGATACCTCCCATATGTTGTTAATTAGTCATGTCCTGAATCTTAAATCTAACTAGGACACATCTATATATGAAATAGATGAGTATGGAATCAAGGGAGATTTGACCTGACCTATTGCTAATGACTGTGCTCACATGATAAATGATGGTAAGGTAATTGAATCTTTCCTACAGAGGAAGTCTTTGGGGTAATTCCCAGTTCGGTGTTCCTCATGATGGACCACCCAATCTCATGATGAATGTCGTCATTTTCAAGAAATGACTGAGCTGCAGTATGCAATAATATATAGACACTGTTACAGTATGCTTGAGTGTATCATGTGTATTGTGTTTGTGTGAAAACATTAGACACATTGAGTGAAGGCCGTTAATGATTGATGTAATTTAAAGGCCAGTCAAACACAAACATGTGGAGGCTATTTTCCCTTGGAAGGGTCACAGCCATTAAGCTGCAGTTGACATACAGACGGGCTGATTAACCTGTGTGTGAGTCACCTTGTCATGTAGTGTGAGCAGATACCAGCCTGTGGAGATGCACAGCATCCGAGCACAGCAGACAATAGAAGACATTCTTTTAAAATGTACCGATATGTTCACACAGACTGACAAACGAGCCGGTGTGGGTCTGCACACACAATACCAAAATCACTGCAGCTCCACATCACCTGCTTAAACCATATAATTCAGGCCTACTGATGCATGAAGCATGGTCTCCATGACAACGGGAGGCTGGGCTTGAGGTGCAGGGTCCCAGGTAATGAGTGAAAGATAGGTTAGAGGGAGGTGGGGGGATAACATGAGGGGAGCGCTATGGGCCACGGGTAAACGGGAAAAGACAGTGGAGAGACAAAGAAGTCAGTAAGAAGGGGGGAGGGGGGGGGGGTACCTTAAGGAATGATTTGATTGTTATGTTTGGAGTTTTCGGCCAATTTAGCTCAAAACACAAATCAAACACACATGTATTCTTTCAAGTGTATGTGCATGAGTAAAACCTACAATGGGGGGATTTCTCTTTAAAAATTTAAGAACTAAACATCAAAAGACAAAAAATATGTATTTTCATGGAATCTAATAATCCAGGCTTTGCTTTGCAAATATCCGAAAATGTTTCAATATTGCATCTTCATCAGTGTATTTGCCTTGAAGGCCCATTAGGATTCCCCGCCTTTGAAAACGACTTCTAAATGTCTTATGTAAATTGTGTCTCCCTCTTTTCAGGCACACACACACACACACACACACACACACACACACACACCCACTTAGATATCTGTAGGTTTACCTGAAAGGTTTCAGAGAGTTGAATGAATACTAAATGAGTTTATGTGAAGACAGCATGCAGATGATAGCAGAGGGGTTGATGGAGGAGGAATAATGATGCGAGAAACAATGAGGAAAAGGTGATGGCAGACCTTGTGGGACTCAGACTTTGTGTGTGTGTGTGTGTGTGTGTATTTACCTTTCTATCCAACAATGGACTTTGGCATTCACCAACAGGGGACCATGGTCAACGGGGGCCATTTTGTGAATGTATGTTGGCCATGCTTTAAATAATGCTAAAATCATGTCTAAAACCCCGTGGGGATTTTTTTTAAATTATTATTTTAGCCAAGAGGGGGCTTGCAGGTGTGTGAATGTTTATGGTTTAAGTCCATGCTCAGCTCTGCTCTTGCTGGCTGGAGTAGGGATTATAATGACTCACTCACACATACTGTTTTTAACACTCCTCCATAGTGTGAATGGCCTCCAGTCCCAGGCAAGAATTTCAGACTGTAGAGGGGCTATTACACAGGCTACTTACTAAAGAAACCAGTCTCTTGAAACATGATTTGTTGTAATGTTTTTGTAAGAAAATATAAATGCTCAACTTAATTGGATATTTTAAGTTCCAAGCTGAACACAGAAGGCAGAAGAGTAACAAGTATTTTACAATCTAAAAATGGGAGGAAAAAGAGAAAAACGACCAGGATAAAATTAGGGATAAAATGGTCAGCAGTATAATCTTTTCTTTTCAGTTGTAATTGATCACAAAGAAATGATATGACAATTACAGGAAAAGGATCCAGACTCGGTTGGAGTACTGTGGTGGTCCACTGTTGGTAATGTAGAAATGTTTGCGTGTGTCCCTGCCAGGGTGTGGTTAAAGGGTTATTAATGAGATTAATTCATTTTCATTTCAACATGCTGACATTTTGCAGGCAGACTGTCCAGAGCAGCTTCAAGTGGGAGCAGCCAACTTTCAATATCTGTAAGTCCTCGTAAACAACAGCAAAGCTACAGTGCTGAGAATCAGAGAGAAAGAAAATATTTTTTTTTTTATGTGACTGTGTGGGAGGAGACAACGTCCAGCAAAAGATGCAGCAAAGAGAACAGTAACACCTGCACTTTAGTGCTCAGTGAAGTGAGCCAAGAGAGAGGTGTACCCTGAGGTGTTGAGTGTTATCTCTGCGAGGAAAGATGGGTCGGCCCTCTGCAATCCTATGAGAAAATGATTTTACCACCGTAGAGCCAAGAGGAAGAAAGGTACAGACTGCATGGAGCAAATATAAGGTATTTTAAGCTGCTTCTCGGTGTGGGTGGATTAATAAGAGGTCATAAATGGAAGGACTCTTTTTTTTGAAAGGTTTGGAAAGGTAGACGATCCGGTGGGCTGGTCGAGTAGGATTACAAGCCACTGTTTACATATGTGCATTTCATATGATTTGTTTTGATAACAAGAGGAAAGACTCACCCGGGGACTGAGGTTTGGGAGGAACCACCGCCAGCCTCTTTGGGGAGGACAGGAGGGAATGTGTGACCTCTGAGCTCCGCTGAAACTCCTTCCTGCCAACTGTCAACCAATAAGGATACAACCAATCAGTGGGACTTACTTTAAACAGAACGTAAATGTAACAGTAACATGTTAAAAAGGTACCTGATATTTATATCACATCATGTCAATCAAACATCCACCTATATACACACACAAAAGCCAAACCATCCACCCTTACCTGCCGACTTCTCACTCTCTTTTCAATTTCTTTGCTGATTTTTCTCCTCTCCTAACTTTTTCAATCTTTCTGTTACACTTCTGCTTTCATCTCGAGCTATCTCACCCCCTGCTGCGTTGTATAACTATGTCCCACGGGACTCTGGGTCAAAGAGAAGTAGAGCATACTGGCAAGATGTGCCCATCACCTCCCTGCTCTCTGCAACATTACACACTTTGCAGACGAGACAATCAGGAACTATGTCGCAGAGTAGGTGGAGTGTGTGGGAGTAGATAAAGTAGCTGGATTTAAAACAATAAATGTGAGATGCCTTACCCAGGAGAAAAAATAAATGTGCGATGAAAAAAAAAACAGATAACAGTGAATAAGGAAAAAGGTTTCAGGAGGTTAGCAGGGAATCTGTTGTGAAGCAGAGAGGGGCCTTGAAAAGAAACTAATTAGATCTGTAATGGAAGAGATGCCTCTGATCCTGAACAAATCCCCCAAATAACCCTGGAGAGGTTATATACTTTAGGCCTGCAGAGACAGCGTGTGTGTGTGTGTGTGTGTGTATTCACTGTTCATGTTTTGGTGTGGTCATGCAAATGTGGGTCTCAGAGTGACTCATTACCACCAAGTTTACCCTAGACTCACGTACACACACACACACACACACACACACACACACACACACACTGTCATGGCACTGTACTGTTACTAAAACCCAGCATGACTGTCTTGAACTTGTACTTGAACATTTAACAAACACTTTAAACCCCTAATATATTTTGGCAAGAGGTAGCTGGGAGGTGTTTAGCTTAGCTGAACACAAAGACTAGAGGCAGGGGTAAACAGATATCAGAATTAAAAAAATAAATTAACATGCCTTCCAGCAACACCAAAATGATCTTGCTCAGAGTTATTCGGCTACAGTTGCAAGATGCGAACAAACTATATTTTCACATAGTGCATTCCAAGCTTAGTTAGACTAAGTATCTACAAGCATGGTAGTGGCTCTGTGAGGCCGTGCAACGTTTTGAGCTAATTCTATAGCAAACATCAGCATGCTAACATGCTCATAATGTCGGTATAATAGCTAACATTTTCATTATCTTGGTTTAGCATATTAGCATGCTAACATTACAGTATTAGTCCACGTAATTAGTCTCAACCAAAGTGCTAGTGGCTTGTTTTGGGCTCTGTGCAAAGGTTTTTGGTTTTGTGCTTTCAGGGGCTCAACATGACAGATGTGTTTGTCGACTGATATAAGACGTATGTCTGAAAATGTCTGTGTTGAATTGAGATGGTCACATAAAATGTATCATCTAGTACAGATAAAAGTAGTGTCTGTGCACGACTTGCAGGTTGACAGGGACTCCTCAGGTATCTCTTCATCAATCATTTACAGCACATTTAAAATCAGCAGGGGCCAACAGAAACACAAGGTGAGACATTCATAGACAGTCTGCATTCCTAGCACACAGTTGACAACAACACAAGGATGATCTCTACTTTAAAATGTGTTTTGCCCTGGAAAGTTGTGTTTGTGATATTCTGCTAACACCACAGCAAGGATAGCAGAGTTTTTGTCTTTTATTCAAGCTATACTGTGAAAGTGTAAAGACATGAGATAAGTGTGAGTGAGAGAAGTGTGATACTACAAGCCGTCTGGGTTTAATTTCCATGTGTGAAAAGCATCACTGCTTGTGCGCCTCCTCGCCTCTGAACAGATCGTATTGGCACCATCAACTAGGACAGTTGTGAACCGACAAGCTCAAAAACATTTATTAGCAGTAGAACATGTTAAATGTGTGGTGTTTTATGATACTTAACGATAGCTTTAAAAGCTGAAAGTGTATTTTAAGCTTTTAAACCTTGTTATTTCAACGTTTTCAAGGACATTATAAAGTGCTTTCATCAGAACCAGGAGTACACTGGAATTAATGGCCGAGACGAACACTTGAAAGGCAATTCCACCCTTGGATGTCTCTAACGCAGTTCAACACATTCTGTGAGATCTTGAAAGTGAAGTGTCCAAGTGTTAAGTTAGTGGGTTCCAGCATTTCCCATAATTACTTTCAACAACCCCTGAGAGCAGGAGGTTGTGCTGAGTTATGTGCTACACTTTAATGGAGGCAGAGAAAAGATGAAATCAAAAGTTGGGCCATATATGAAGTGAGAACGCTGTATGCCTCTTCTACAATGGATTTCCCACTCTAAAAATATGTGTGCAAAGTACTGTTTCTAGAACACAAGCGCTTGCTCTTTGATTTCCAAGTACTGACTATAAAACCTCTTGTTTACAATTGATGCTGAATTTTCTTCTGCTTCTGAACACCAGAACATACATAATACATTGTGTATGGTTTGCTGCTTATTAAATTGTTTACCACATGTGACAACAGCATGTATTAATAGGACACAATCTGTTCTTGGTGAAAAAATGCTTCTCTCTCTCTCTCACAGGCATGAAACTCAGATTGTATTTGCACATAGGGGTGAGTTCCCTGCCTGTTCCCCTTATGAACACATGTCATTGTTTCTGCACAACCTGAAATACACATTTTGACTGAATTTAGTCAATGAGTCTGAGCCAAATTAAAGAAAATCCTCACAAAATCTTTATAGTAGATTGCTTTTAAAAATACAAATTATTTCTGTAGTTGAACCAAGAAATGCGCTCTGTTCTCCAATAACAACTTTGACTGACCTCCAGGAGAGCTTCTTGGCTGGGCAGGAAGGTAGCGCCGGGGAAGAGCTGGAGTAGAGGGCGGCTGGAGGCTGTGGCTGCGACAAGGTGCCCCTCTCTGGTGATCAGTCAACGGAGGGCCGGTGGTCACTCTGTGAAGAGGAGGATCCTCACTCACACTCAGACCTGGAAAACACAGAATTATTGTGTTTATATGTTTGTTTTTTATCTACATTGCATATGTTAGGACACATCTACAGAGTTCCCTTTCTGAGTTGCTATATCTCAATTGCTCCTTCCTCCTTTTTATAATCATATATTGGTTTTTCTACAGTCTGGTAGGGCTGTTAGGTCTGAATTCAGGTTCACTGGACTGAGAAATAGTTTTTAACCTCTGGGTCTCGCTGCTGCTGCTCTCAATCTTCCTTTGCTAACCTGCAGCTGCACACTTATCCTGCACAAACACATGCCTGACCCACATGTTTTACACAGGGACACTTCAACGCTTCCACATGAGCACATACACAGGAAAATACAATGCACACTCACACATAAACGCACTAATCATCACTCATCCTGGCCTATACCGCAGCTATAATCTATTAAATGACTAGCAGATAGTTTACACACTTGCAAGCACACATGCACTCTCGCACACTGCGTAAATCCTGCTCATCTCCCCGATCAATAATGACACAAAAGATTGCCTGCACTTCTCCACCTTCTTCGCGTGACAAGCAGGGCTGAACAATTCAATATAAAGCTGCTTGTAAGAAGCCATGAGATTGGTGATTAAGATATGAGCATTCTCCCCGCATCCTCAGAAACCAGTGCTTGTTGGACAATGTGATGGGAAAAAAATCACAAGCTGCTGGGAAAATTTAGATCGCAATAGTTGTTTTGGTCTGCGTTTTCTTTTGTTTCAAGCCAAGTCCCTCAGGCACGCTGGACCATAATAGTACACCACGTCATCTATTCACACGAGCAGCCTTTCCATTGGTGAAGATGGTGACCAAAGTGTAGAGACACACTGAGCTAGTTATAACCACTCCTTTATTTTCTCCCTCCAACACTTGCTGCATTGTACCAATTTTGTGGTAAATAGTGAGTAGGAACTTGACTCATTAGGTCGCTTACAAAGAAAATCTGCAAATGAATGGTACACATAATGTAGCCAGGTAAGCAGCGCTGGGCCACGTATTACTAAAATAGTGGATTCCAAAAAATCCCACATCCAGTAAGCCACAGTTTGAGCAGACATGCAAACCATAATAATAGGCCACTATTTGAAAGTCAACTAAGGGATTTAATTAACAAATATTTTGACTTTGATATTGTCCTCTGAAATTAATAAAGACAAAATCAATATTTAAGTGGTATAATTTCTTAATTTGCCTTTGGAAAACTGTTCCCTTCCACCGTCTCATCAGGTGTCCTATACACCGGTGTCATCAATCTCCTTAATTGATTAAACAACATACATTCAGTAGCAGAGCTGAACCAGAGGGGGCTCGGCAAGGCATAACCACACAGAAATCATTCAACATTCATATTTAACACAATTCTACCAACCACATATTTAACTAAGCATGTTTATATACAGCGTTATATAAAGAATTTTACTTTCATACTCAGCCTTTTCTGAAGTGTACCTTAGCTCATGGTTCATTATGGCTCCAGTAAATTGTAAAATCCAATATTTTCCAATACTTCTTAAAAATCAGAGCTGTTTTGTTGCATGCAAGATAAACATATACTGTATGCATGTAGAACCCCGACCGTGGGTCTTTAGAGACCAGGGACTATGTTCGGCATTAGAGACTATGTTAGGCATTACCGCCTATCATTCATTTTATTCAGTTAAGCACTTTCACACACATACACAAACATACACACACACACACACACACACACACACACTCACACTCTGATGGCAGCAAGCTACCATGCAATGCATGGGGAGTCGGGTATCAAACCACCAAGCCTGCAATCAGCAGAGTATGTTCTCTACCCCCTGAGCCACAAGAAGTTTTGATGATAGTAACTTTGAAGTGAAGGAGTGCCTGAAGCAACTGATGATGCAAATTATATGTCAGTGCCAAATGAATAGCAAGATATTTCAGAATTGGAGCTAGAGTATGGCAATGCTAACTCAGAGAAAAATAGCAGACCACTGAACATAGCGTGCCCTACCATGCTGCAATGACAACAAGACAATGATTATTATTTGTGACAAATTTGTGTTTGGCCAATCCCAGTCATTGAGCAGTTACAGCAGTGTGCAACACAGTACAATATTGTATGTGATAAAAAAAACGCTTGGATATTTTGAAAGATATCAATATAGGGAAAATATTTTTTTTGGCACCTGTAATTGAAAACAACAACAAAAAAATCCAGAAAATATGATTTGGGTTGCCAGTATGGTACAAATGCTCAGCCAGTTTGTAGTTTTGCTTTCTCAAGTTGTATCCTCCTGTTTGCCGTAGCCCTGTATAATCCTGAGTACCCTTGTGCTTCAAGTGCTGTCTGTGCCTGCCTCTCTATAGCCTACAGCTCAGCCCACTCTTCCTGCCCCACTCCACCGCAATCTCCGGATACACTTTCACCCATTTTCTCGGATAAAGCTGCTTATGAACTTTTTCATACCTCTGTCTATATTTCACATAGACTGTGAATTACCAAAAAAACATGCTACACTGTGATATACAGTATATACATTGCTGTCCTGCTTAGGTTGCTGCCTCACCATATACTCAACCGAGAGCAATACAAGAGTTGATTAGTGAGGCTGTTTGCAGTATTTCCTCCTCATGAACCAGTCAAGGGCATGAGCAGTGTGTTCTGGCCAGATCGTGGACAGCCACAGAGCACTGCTCTGCTGTTACTTAGCTCTGCAATTACTGCTGTAAACACCATCTACATGAAGACTTCCATCGGTTAGAATCTCACAGATAAAAACTGGATTTGTAAATAACAAAAAAGCAAATGTTCGGCATTGACCTCAAATGCTTTGACTGGTGCTCCGTTTTCGGAGTTGACACAGATCAATTAGCTGGTTGATATGAACTGAGATGTGCTCATTACTCATAGGTCAAATATGTCTTGAACAAATTCCCAAAGCACAGAGAGGAAGAGTAAATGATGGTGCCCGGCTGCCAGACAAAGAATGCTTTGAATGATAAAAAGGAGAGTGTCATTCAGGGGCTTATAGAGAAAAAGGGATGTGTTTCATTAACGGTGAAAGCAAGCTGATATGCATCACTGATTGGCAAGATGCCAGCCGACAACAGAGCTTGATGAAGATGCGAAGAGGCTGGCTGTATGGGATCAGGAAGAAGAAAGAAACAAAAGAAAAAAGAGCTACAAAGAGGAGCCAGTGGCAAGCTTAGCGTTTTATGAAGACTGACGAAAAATACCAAAGATATTAAAAAGGGATCAAGAGCGTGGTGAAATGGTTGAGAACAAAAGGCACTGGGTTTTTCAAGCTCAGTGGGAGGCCAATTTATTGGAGCAGAATGCACCTCACAGCAAAAAGAATGCCAGTAGAATAATGCTGACTCTTGTATCTGAGTCCTATACACAGAAACGGATAGGTCTGAGGTTTGTATGCGTATCCTCAGCGTTTCCCATTGGTGTGTAAGGAAAATGGCAATGTAGCTGCATGTCACTTGCACAAGTTTAATTTGATTTTGAAATGGCTAAATCCATACCTCGGAGGTGTTTCATTTGACTGAAGCATAAATTGCCAGCCAAATCAGCACAATCACATTCTGCAAAAGAAACTCTTTCGCTGTCCTAAAGGAATTGATCTTGGTGCAGTCCATCCAGGTTGCATACACGCAAACAACCAATGTGAACTAGAGCCGCTGGTACAGACTGCAGTGCTGACATGCCACAGAAAAGGCTATTCTACAAAAAATGTATTGCCCCTGGGAAATAAATACTTAAAATGTTACAGTATGCTTAGAAAAACAGCAGCATCAAGGGACACATTGACTCATTGGGATATTTAGGGGATAGCTGATAAGCTGGTGGTGGGTTTGATGAGAGGGATGGAGAAGTTATATAAATGAAAAACACGTTCAGAGTTCACCAAAACTCATTTATTTTCTTTTTTGTTAATTTAAAGCAATGTATTTTTCTGGCCACTCTTCAATAAAGCCCATCTCTGTGGACTGTATAGCTTGGAGTGGTCCTATGAACAGATACTCCAATCTCCTCTGTGGAGCTCTCCAGCACCTTCAGGGTTATCTTTGGTCTCTTTGCTGCCTCTCTGATTAATGTCCGGTCCGTGAGCCTTGGTGCTCTCTTGTTTGTTGCGGTGCCATATTCTTTCCATTTTGTAACAATGGAATTAATGGTGCTCCCTTCGATCATGCTACACTTAGATTGCACACAGGTGGACTTTATTGAACTAATTATGTGACTTCTGAAGGTAGGCTAATTGGTAGCACCAGGTCTTATTTAGGGGCTTCATAGCAAAGGAGGTGAATACATGGGCACGCACCACTTTAAAGGTTCTTCTTTTTGTTGTTGATATTTTCAAACAAGTTTTTTATTTTTTTTTATTTTGCTTCACCAATTTTGACTTTTGTGAAGGTCCATTATCTAAAATCCAAATAAAAATCCATTTTTATTTCGAGGTTGTAATGCAACATTATAGGAAAAATGTCAAGGGGGTAAAAACATTTTGCAAACAAATGCTTTACTGATTTAATTGAATCATATTTTACGTTTAATACAGTGGTGGAAGATGTACTCGGGTCCTTTTACTTAATAAAAGTAGCAATTCCATTGTGTTTGCAGATGTCTACTGAATCAAGTTCTTTTAATGAGTGATGTATCCATGTTAATTGTGAATGGATACGACTATTATCTAAACTGCTTTTGTGTTTGCCATGTTTTCCACCTGGTGGCAGGAGTGGGAACGCCTGGGTCCGGTTCCCCAGTCTATAAAGCAATGGCTTTCACTAGCAGACGCTTTCTCTGCGGTGCTGCTGCAGTTTGCACTCTTCTCCTTACAGGCAGCCATTGTATTCAGTATGTTGCTTTAGTTTATCATGCTTCTTTTGCACCTTACAAGACACACACACACATCCATTATGATCCTCATGTATACTTACACCACTGATTATCCCGACATCTACAGCTTAACAATTCTTATTTGGCATCTTCATTTGGTT